TCAATTTAAAAGAATGATACAGCATGTATATGATAAAAGCGAGAAAAAACACAAGTGCTAGGTCTGAATGTGAATATTATTCAGTGTTATTCATGTTGTTTGGTAAGTTCCTTGGTGTCAACTTCAGGAGGATCGCTCTAATTACCCTCAGGTCCAACCAGATTTGGTTCTTCTCTAGCCTGCATGTTAATAAGGACACAAAAGTACATCTGTTTTAAAGAAAGCAGTGCAGAGTAAACCTAGTGAGAGATAAACTGAGGCAGAAATGATTCTATTTGACAAACGATCTCTCATTCAACTTATTTTAAAGCAAAACAATGCACTCATCATGCAGATCCATCATCTCACTGCTGAGAACTTTCAGTTTTTTTAAATCTCAAGTAATAAAATACATTATTTCAAAGTTTTTGTCCGTTGGTAGGAAAATACAAAAGTTTGAAGACACCGATGCTAATTTGGCATCAAAAAAGGATCAAAATCATATAAATGCAAAAGAAGAATCCTGAAGTTTTGTTTCACTATGCAATCATTCCCTCCCTGCTCATTGTTCCATTCTAATGCTCATATATTAAAACAGCCTTTCAATGTAATAAAAGAAAAGCCAGAAAAGCCAATTTTTACAGCAGAAATAAACATGTTTACAGCTCGATTAAAAAAACTAAATTGGTCTGATTATCTCATGTCTCAATCAGCACACATTGTATGAAGAGGGATTTTTTTTTTAACATGTCCATTTTTCTTTTCATGAAGGATACGCGTTATTCACACTAAGACCCGTAGCTTATAGGCCTGGGCTAAAAAAACTAAAAATGTTATCAAAATGTCATATCAGTCGATATAATTATCACAATAATTATCAATCATTATTACTTTCAAATTTTCAAATTTAAAAGCTGATTTTTGCTCCTGAGTGAAAGTTTGAAGAAACCAGAGGGTTGGTTAATCTTTTGGTTTCACTCCCATGCTGCTGTTGCTTACCTCTCTTAACCTGAGGGCCCCAAACCAGAGTCCTGCACGGTTCCAATACAGGTCAGTAAAATTGTTTCACTACAGAAATCTGACTGACTGTCCAGACTTGCTGTCTAACCTGGATGCAAACCAGGACAAAGGACCAATAACATGTTGGAGTGTTGCCCAGCTTGGCAGTATTTTGTTAAGTTAAAGTATCAAATCTATTAGAGTAGAGCTTCACCAGCACAGGTAAGCATACGTTAACCTGAAAGGAAGACCGAAGGCTGAGGATGCTAGCACAGCTAATGTTTTCCACACTCAGCAGATTGTAGGTCACATGTTCAACCATATTAAATAAACTGTACTCAATGTGGACTGTTTTCTATTTACTTTAGCCAAGTCAACTGGTTTTATGTTCAATCAACAGCAAGTTAGTTGATATGTATTGTATCCTTTAACATCTTAAGATTCAACTATTATCAAGGATTGAAAATCATGTACCACTGTTTAAAGTGCTTTTTGGCAGCCTCCACACTCTCGTCATCAATCTCCTTACAGAAGACCCTGATCAGCTGCTCAGAAAAGATCAATGTGCGAATCCTGGATTCCTGTAAAGAATGACAGCAGCTTTACTTTGAGAGTTATGGAGACATAAACCTCCTTACAAATAACAGACAGAAGAATTATTGAATGATTGTGATAAAAAAATTGTTTTAATCAATAGTTAGTTCTGACATTTTTCCTGTTCTCGTCTTTCATGCCGTAGTCCTTGTTAATGACCTAAAAAGAAGGTCGAGAGTAAAATGTGTGCCATAACAAACTCTGCAACATCTTACAAATCAAAGAATCAGCAAAACTGAAGATTTTACAAAAAAAGGTCAGATGAAAGAAAGTAAAAGAAAACTCACCAGGATTTCAAAGTCCTCTGGTTTCAGGTTGTTTTCTTCCTCGTCAGGGAGGGGTTGAGCCAATCCTTCTTTCCAGCCAGAAATCTGGCTCTTGACAAGGAATCAGAAAAAAATTACAACAGTGGAAAAGGATATAGATTCAAGTTTTTTTGCATTTTAAGTTGACAATGTAAGAAACTTGGAATTCAATTCTTATTCACTCAAAAAACTGCACCAACTTAGTGTAAATGCGTTTGACTGTAGGGCTGCATGGTATGATCTAAGCATTCATTTTGCTATGTGTACAAGTGCCATGGTAATATCCCAGGACGTGTGTTAGTCTATGAGCACATAAAGTGTAGAGGGAGAGAGAGAGAAGGGATCACATGCAGTGTATGAAGATGAACTGTTCTTTGCTTAGAAGTTAATGTCACAGGGCTCTTGATGCAAATTAAATGTAGCTTTGAATGTATAAGGGGTTCTTATTTGTAAAAGAAAATAAACTTGAAGACCCAGATAATAATAAAAATTGTAATAGTATGAACATGAAAAGAAAACGCAGTTTCCCCAATATCATGCAGCATTAGTTGACTGAGGGATTTTGTATTATAAGACATTTCAAGCTGCTATCCAATTCACATTACATTTCAAAAAGAGAACTGTTCAATAGTGCTGCTGTTCATGTTAAATGTAATATTACGGGCAAGATAAAATGCTGGAGACAGTAAATAATGTGATGTGTACTCATTCTATTAACTGAAAATGAGCACATTATCCAGCTTTGTGATAACAGTGCATTAGATCATGTGTAATAAATGTAATGAAACACAAGAACACACAGACTTACTTTCCAATCCTTGATGGTCTCCTCTGGCTTTCTCTCACCAACAAACTTGTAGATCTCTCCAGAGACAATTTTTTGCAGAATCTTTCTTGCCTCTAAGAGTAAGAGAGTGACAAGCAAACGATAAACAATAATAATTCAGTGTTATTCATGTTGTTTGGTACTTTCCTTGGTGTCAACTGCAGGAAGATCGCTCTAATTACCCTCAGATCCATCCAGATATGGATTCTTCTCCAGCCTGCATGTTAATAAGGACACACAAGTACATCTGTTTTAAAGAAAGCAGTGCAGAGTAAACCTAGTGAGAGATAAATTGAGGCAGAAATGATTCTATTTAACAAACGATCTCTCATTCAAGTTATTTTAAAGCAAAACAATGCACTCATCATGCAGATCCATCATCTCACTGGTGAGAACTTTCAGTTTTTTTAAATCTTAAGTAAAAAAAAAATATTTTCAAAGTTTTTGTCTTTTGGTACTAAAATACAAAAGTTTGAAGACTCCAACATTAATTTGGCATCAAAAAAGGATCAAAATCATATAAAAGCAAAGAAAAGGCAACAGTGTCCTGAAGTTCAATGCAATCATTCCCTCCCTGCTCATTGCTCCATTCTAATGCTCATATATTAAAACAGCCTTTCAATGTCATAAAACCACAAACTGCATATATTAATATGGACAATGAGTTTTGGTCTGTTGTATAAAGAGCAAAGACAAAATACCGACCAACATTTTGTGCTGGTGACTTCTTTTGGAGCCAAGACATGTGCAAACTGAAGCACAACAAAACAAAAAGCTCAGGTCAGAAAGAATCCCAGTCTCGATTCTCACATAGTTGCGATGTCATGTCTGCGTGATGCCGATTCTCTTGCTCCTTTTTCCTTCACAAACTGCACTTATGCTGCACTCGCGTCAGTATTTCCCACACAGACAATACTCGGGCTGCCCAGGTACATGTATAGCTGCCCAAGTAGCCTATATTTTAAAACTATATGTTTTAATTATTCATAAAATTGCAGTCCGCATGAGAGAGAGAGACAAAAAGAGGGCTGCTGTTTGTTCCTCCCTCCTGTTAATGCACCTGAGGTCCAGCCCTCCTGACATGTCAAAACAGAAGCTTCTCATGACTTAGTTTTATTATGTTTGTGAAGCTGCTTGCTGCCGATGTGATGATGCTCTCTCTTGGTTTTGCTGAATCTTGATAACAGGCCTTCACATCATGCTCACCTGTTGTAATAACTGAGATGCTAGATCAACTTTTTAAAGAGGGAGTTTTGTTGTGTTGCACAGAGCCCATGAAGGCTCAGTTAAAAAAAAAAAAAATGCTGTCTGCTAGTCAGTACAATGGACTTGTAAAGCGTGGCTACGGACTAGCAAACTGTTGGCAAGGTTTCATAAATTCTGCGAGACAAAACAAGGGGCTGAGGTCCATCAATCATTTCCATCAGCAAGGCATATCTGCTTTTACTCTCTCTCTCTCGCTCGTGCGCACATTTTTATTCCATTTCTTTAAACGAGACAAAATCAGGATGAGAATGCAGGAAAAGAAATGTTTGGTGCTTAACATTTTCTTGGGGAGACCCCACCTGAAGCTGGCTGGAGAAACACTGGAAGCCACATACACACCCATTCAAAAAAAGTCTGTTTGAGACTGTAGATCACATGTTCAACCATGTTAAATAAACTGTACTGGGGATAAGACTTGTGTAAATCAGTGTAGTGACACAACAGAAAACTCAAAGTACTTGGTCTTTTTTTCGATTCTCTGATTTTTTTGAAATTTTCAAAATCCAAAACAACTGTTGACTGTTTTCTATTTACTTTAGCCAAGTCAACTGGTCTGAATTTATATTTGATGTTTTATGTTCAATCAACAGCAAGTTAGTCGATATGTATTGTATCCTTTAACATCTTAAGATTCAACTATTATCAAAGGATTAGAAAATCATAGTACCACTGTTTAAAGTGCTTTTTGGCAGCCTCCACACTCTTGTCATCAATCTTGTTACAGAAGACCCTGATCAGCTGCTCAGAAAAGCACGTTGTGCGAATCCTGGATCCCTGTAAAGAAGGACAGCAGCTTTACTTTGAGAGTTTTGGTGACATAAGCTGCCTTACAAATAATTTAACCCAATAAACAGAAGAAATATTGCGATAAAAAAATGTTTTAATCAATATTTAGTTCTTACCTTTTCTTCGGGCATTGGCTTTGCCACGTCAAGCTCAGATTTGCTGTAGAAATGAACATGTTGGATAGGGTCCTTGTCGTCCATGCCATAGTCCATTTCAATGACCTAAAATGAAGGTTGAGAGTAAAAGTATGTGTGTAATAACAGATTTTGCAACATCTTACAAATCAAAAAATCCGCAAAACTGAAGAATTTACAAAAAGGTGAAATGAAAGAAAGTCAAAAAACTGACCAGGATTTCAAAGTCCTCTGGTTTCAGGTTGTTTTCTTCCTCGTCAGGGAGGGGTTGAGCCAATAATTTTTTCCAGCCAGTAATCCGGCTCTTGACAAGGAATCAGAAAAAAATTACAACAGTGGAAAAAGATATAGATTCAAGTTTTTTTGCATTTAAAGTTGACAATGTAAGAAACTTGGAATTCAATTCACATTCACTCAAAAAACTGCACCGACTTAGTGTAGATATTTTTGACTGTAGGGCTGCATGGTATGATTTAAGCATCATTTTTGCTATGTGTACAAGTGCTATGATAACATTACAGAATATATAATATCAATCATATGTCCTGAAATGTATCATTTCATGCCATTTTTTGTTGTTTCTGCTTTTGAAAAAACAAAAAGCCTTCAGTTTCTCTCTTTCCATGACTGATCTACAATATCAGTCTGTCTGATCCTCTTCCTGATCACAAAGAGAAGTGACTTCTGTGCAGGCAGAGTCTATGTGCACATAAGATGTAGAGTTGAAGGGATCACATGCAGTGTGTGACGATGAACTGTTCTTTACTGTCACAGGGCTCTTGATGCAAATTAAAAGTCACTTTGAACATATAAGGGGTTTTTATTTGAAAAAGAAAATAGAATTGAAGGCCCAAATGATAATACAAATTGTAATTGTATGAACCTCAAAGGTTATCGCAGTTTCCCCAATATCATGCAGCATTAGTTGACAGAGGGATTTTGTATTGTAAGACATTTCAAGCTGCTATCCAATTCACATTGCATTTCAAAAAGAGAACTGTTCAATAGTTTTTGCTGTTCATGTTAAATGTAATAACAACACGGGCAAGATAAAATGCTGGAGACAGTAAATAATGTGATGTGTACATATTCTATGAACTGAAAATGAGCACATTATCCAGCTTTGTGATAACAGTGCATTAGATCATATGTAATAAATGTAATGAAACACAAGAACACAGACTTACTTTCCAATCCTCGATGGGGTCCTTTGGCTTTCTCTCATCAACAAACTTGTAGCTCTTTCGAGAGATGATGTTTTGCAGAATCTCTCTTGCCTTTTTTAGCTCTGAGCAGGAAGACTTCAGTATTTCCTCAAACACGTTGTCTAAAAGAGTAACAGAGTAACAAGCAAACGAATGATAATAACACACACAAAAATTAGTGAATTTAATTTAAACACACTCAATAAATTGTAAGACATGGCATGTTAATTTATAAGTCATCACAACTAAATTAACAGGATGTGGTTTATTTATCTTTAACAAATGCACGATAAAAAAAATGGATAAAGTAGCATAACTGTAAATGACCTAGCAACAGAGCCATGTCTTGATACTCCTGTAGTCTGAATTGGCTTCAATGTTAAACATGAGCTAACAGCACACATTTAAATCTACACACCTGTGAGCTTTGTGTAGGCCTCCATGTCCTCATTGGCTGTAGAGAGAGTGAACATCCTCCCTCCTGATCCTTCAATCTGAATGTGACCGTCTGCTTTCAAAAAAGCCTCTGCAATCCTGTATGTTCATGTCAAATATATTATTACTGATGAGATAGTGAATCATGATGCAGATTGAATAATGGAAATCAGAAGGAGACCAATCTTATATTTGGAGTAATAACTTCTGAAGGTAGACACTTACATTTCTTGTATGATTTGGCTTACTCTGTGCTGACAGGCTCTTTTGTGGAGACGGTGTCTTGTATAGAACAAGTCGTACATATGGTCTTCCTCCTGTTGAGGTTAGGACTGCAGTTTAGTCATAAATAACAACATTATCAGTTTGCTTTCAATTATCTGTTTACAAGCTCAAGTGTGTCAGCACCTTGTCTCTGGTGCAGATAGTTTTCCTGCCATCAACCTCACACACTCTGGCAAACTGCAGGAAGCGATGAAAGTCAAAGTTGTTCTTGATCCCCAGGTAGGAAGAGTCCCTGAGTAGAGGCAGATTGAGGCAAGGTGAAGAAAATAGGTGTATAAAGTGAAACTGAATTTACTGGAGAGTTTTGTAGCCTATAATTTAAAATAATCAGGAGAATAATGCATTGTTCAAGGTAAAAAAAAAAGAAGTGCTGTAGTGGTCTTCATCACAAAATGAATTGCTCTACAGCACTTGAACCTGACCTGGCCAAGTAGTCAAACTTGTCCACATCAACGCCGTTTTTTTTGTTGGACACAATTTCATAGAGGAAGGAATTTTCTTCTGGGCGCCTTTTGTACGGCCACTGCAGGGATGACGACACAAAGCGAATCAGGACCAGTTTTATTGACACGTATGTTGTTGTCAATGAATTTACACTGCATAGAAAAAATATGTAGGACCATTCCACAAAACAGAGATAAAGCTAAAATATGAACACAATAAACTGTGTACAAGCAAAAGCATGACAAAATAAACAGCAGGTTCAATTTCAAATGGAGTTCTAGGCAGATGAAAAACTTTTTTTTTAACGATTAAAAAAAAAGGACTCTTCTTGTCCGCCTTTATACTGAGGAGATGTTACAAAATAGTGACATTAGTGACATTGCTGTTGAGGACACAGACCTATTTATGCACAGATGGTGTGAACTTGCCTTTTCTTTCTTTTTTTAACTTTCTTTATTGCTTTTACATATTAACAACATTTCCATTTAGTAATGTCCGTACAGAGAATGTTTTTCACATCTTCAGGGTTCAGTTTGTATTTCTTCTTCATCTCTTTTTCAAGCGTCCTCTGTTCCTGTAATATTTACAGTTAGGGATAGAGAGATTAATTGTGAAATCGTGATAAATCGATTCAAAGGTGTCAAGATTCACATCGGTACTCTGAAAAATGAATCGCAATAATATCGTGAGCGTCAGCAGCTGTAGAGCAAGATTTTCAAATTGAGGACGCACCACCCTCTTTTAAATCAGAGGTGTGGAAGCATTTTAGCTTCCCCAAGACAGAAAATTAAAGATGTGAGAAGATAACAGACGAGACAAAAACTGTGTGTAAATATTGCAAGAAGACAGGGAACTACACAAATAGCACAACCAACATTTGCAGAGTAGATCTCAAAACGTGTGTATGTAAGAAACACTTTAAAAGTCAGAGTTCCTAAAGTTCCTCAGAATTTGACGAGTGACTTAAAGTCAGCCAATTTTCTGTGGACATATACTGTATACAACATCCTAACAGGCTTTATCAGGGTTATTAAACTAGCTGAACTTAACCCAGATATAATACTAAGCACAAGAGTTTTTTGGAAGGTGATACTGCAACTCCGTTTTCTCTCTAAGGGTTTTTTCACACCTGGGTAGTTTGGAAAAGTTGTTCTGAAACCATAGCCCGGTTTGTTCATACATATGTGAACACAGCAATCACACTATTTTAGCTCAACTTTTTAAATCTATTTTGAATTTTTTATTGAATTGTGCACTGTGTGCTCTTTTTTGGCTATCCTTGCTCTTTGCTGCCCCTTGTGGGATGAATAAAGTTTTATCTTCTCTTATCTTATATTCATACAGTATCTTTTCCGACTTCTGAAAAATATAATGAGGTGAATTTGCCTTCTTGCCTTCAGATTCCTGTAGAGGTCCAGCAATCATCTCCTTAATGAATGTTATGTCTTCTTCACGGGTCAGTCCATACTGCCTCATCAAGTCTTTGAGAGTCTCATACTGCAAGACACACAGACTCATAAATGTGTGTTAGTACGTATTTTCATGAATTCATTCATCTTGATCATTTTGTGGATATATCTTTAAATTGTGTCAACCATATCAGAGTAATTCTTCTTTTAGGTTTGTGAAGCTGAAATACATGTGTAAGAGACCTCATAGTAGCAGAGTTATATTTGGATTGGAGCCAAGTGTCCGTTGTGAGCTGAAAAGGAAGTGTGACTCTGAGACTGAAGAAATGTATATGTCTGATATTTAAGAGTCAAGGTGATGTCTTCTTTCTAGCCTTTTAGAGATGTAACGAAGCGGCCAGGAATTTGTAGGATGTACCTTCTAGCAGAATATAAGCAACACTGTGAAGATGAAGACTTTGCCACTTTGCCCATGATGGCCAATGTTTGTCAATGATTGCCAATGATTGTGAGATCTTGGTCAGCATGGGTCAGCGATGGTCCGCACTTTGTCAGCCATGTGTGTTGTGTTTCTATGTTGTCTGACCATGGCTGAATAAATCTAAGATGATCCACAATCTGTTTCATGATTTCATCATTGTTCATCTACTATAGAAACAACCCCCACCTAACAGTGGCGTCAACTAACAGGGACGTCAACCTAACAATGTGTCAACACAAGATTTAAAACATAAATACAATAATCCCACATACTTTAATTTCCCCCACATTTGAAGATTATATCTCAAAACTTCTGTATGTAAAAAAAAAAAAAAAATGTCAGAGTTCCTAAAGTTCCTTAAAATTTGATGAGCGACTTAATGTCAGACATGTGAAGACAGCATTCACACTCCTTTGGCTCCGCAACTTTTTTGATCTATTTTTTATTGAATTGTGCACTGTGTGCTTTTTTTTGGCTATCCTTGCTCTTTGCTGCCTGTTGTGGGATGAATAAAGTTTTATCTTCTCTTATCTTATATTCATACAGTATCTTATCCGACTTCTGAAAAATATAATGAGGTGAACTTGCCTTCTTGCCTTCAGCAATGATCTCCTGAATGTTTTTCACACCTACAGAGTTCAGGTTGTGTTTCTTCATCATCACTTGTTCAAGCTTACTCTGTTCCTGTAATATTTACAGTTAGGGATGTAAAGATTAATTGTAAAATCGTGATAAATTGATTCAAAGGTGTCAAGATTCACATCGGTACTCTGAAAAATGAATCGCAATAATATCGTGAGCGTCAGCAGCTGTAGAGCAAGATTTTGAAATTGAGGACGCACCACCCTCTTTTAAATCAGAGGTGTGGAAGCATTTTAGCTTCCCCAAGACAGAAAATTAAAGATGTGAGAAGATAACAGACGAGACAAAAACTGTGTGTAAATATTGCAAGAAGACAGGGAACTACACAAATAGCACAACCAACATTTGCAGAGTAGATCTCAAAACGTGTGTATGTAAGAAACACTTTAAAAGTCAGAGTTCCTAAAGTTCCTCAGAATTTGACGAGTGACTTAAAGTCAGCCAATTTTCTGTGGACATATACTGTATACAACATCCTAACAGGCTTTATCAGGGTTATTAAACTAGCTGAACTTAACCCAGATATAATACTAAGCATGAGATGCATTATCTTCTCTTATCTTATATTCATACAGTATCTTATCCGACTTCTGAAAAACATAATGAGGTGAACTTGCCTTCTGATCTTTAGATTCCTGTTCAGCAATCATCACCTTAATGTTTTTCACATCTTCAGGTTCAAGTCCATACTTCTCCTTCATCATTTGTTCAAGATCAATCGGTTTCAGCTGGTGGTTAAGACCGTCACAAGAGCCCTTTTCATGTTGCAATACACACAGTCATAAATGTATCAACACAAGATTTAAAACATAAATATAATCATCCCACATACTTTAATTTGTGAGAAGATAAAAGATGTGAGAAGATAACAGACGAGACAAAAAATGTGTGTAAATATTGCAAGAAGACAGGGAACTACACAAATAGCACAACCAACATTTGCAGAGTAGATCTCAAAACATGTGTATGTAAGAAACACTTTAAATGTCAGAGTTCCTAAAGTTCCTCAGAATTTGGCGAGTGACTTAATTTCAGCCAATTTTCTGTTGACATATACTGTATACAACATCCTAACAGGCTTTATCAGGGTTATTTAGCTAGCTGAACTCAACCCAGATATAATACTAAACATTAGATGCATTATCTTCTCTTATCTTATATTCATACAGTATCTTATCCGACTTCTGGAAAACATAATGAGGTGAACTTGCCTTCTGCTCTTTAGATTCCTGTAGTCTTCTGTCTACTTCCATGTCTTCTTCAGGGATCGCTGGTTTAAGATACTTCTGTTTCAGCATGTGGTCTAGCATGTCACAAGAGCCCTTTTCATGCTGCAAGACACACAGACTCATAAATGTGTCAACACAAGATTTAAAACATAAATATAATAATCCCACATACTTTAATTTCCCCCACATTTGAAGAGTATATTTCAAAACTTGTGTATATTAAAAAAAAAAGTTAAATGTCAGAGTTCCTAAAGTTCCTCAGAATTTGACGAGCCACTTAATGTCAGCCAATTTTCTGTGGACATATACTGTATACAACATCCTAACAGTCTTTATCTGGGTTATTTTGCTAGCTGAACCCAACCCAGAGTCAAACTGTTAAGCACAAAAGTGTTTGCCTGAGAAGGTGATACTGCAGCTCAGTTTTCTCTCTAATAGTAAGGGAATATTGCAAAAACATGGGAATAAATTCCTCACCAAGAAATTTCTTCACAAGTGTGTTCATAAAGGTGTCTTATAACATATCCTTGGTGGAAACATGGCCACACCCACTTTTATTGTACATTTAAAGTAGCTAAATATGTTGATCTCTACGGAAGAAGATTAGCGCCACTGAAAAAATAAAATTGGTTCTGATTTTTTTTTTTTTAAATTCTGACTTTAAACTCAGAATTCTGAGAAAAAGGTCAGAATTCCCCAAAAAAAACCAGAACCAACATTCTTTTTTTCAGTGGCCCTAATCCTCTTCCGTAGATTTCAATATCTCGAATACTAGTTTAAAAAAATACTGCACCACATTTTCAAATGTCTGAGGGGTCCAGGTCGAAGTCTTCTCCAGACTCTATACTGTTCTTGAAGTAGTGATTGGGACCCCTGGTGGCTCATGAGACACTAAGAGGTGGTTTGCAAGATGCCTTCCATTACCAAATAAAAAAGTTGAACGATATAAAATTGCATATTTTACCCATTATTGTGAAAAAAACATACAAATGTATTTGAATTTTAAAAGCAATTATAGTGGCAAAGTAAGATTTTTGCTGAAATGAAAGAGATGGTTAAAAACTCTTTAAATGTAAGTTTTCACACAAGTGAAACAATGCAGGTGTCTGTTGCTCCCTACGAATGAAAATACACACATACTTCACCTGAGCGTCTGTTTATTTAATGTTGTATATCCAAATTTTCAAATTTTAACCAATAAGGTTCCAGGTACATGTACCCCAACTTTGAGTAGCTCTCAAGGATTTTCCTACTGGAGTTGGATTTAAATATTTTTATATGTGTTATAAGACACCTTTATGAACACATTTGTTAATACATTTCTTGGTAAGGAATTTATATATATATATAATATAAGGGTTTTTTCACACCTGGATTGTTTGGAAAAGTTGTTCTGAAACAAAGGGGCGTTTTCCCTTTAGCCCGGTTTGTTTGGATGTGAACACAGCAATCGCACTCTTTTGATTATTGAATGGTGCACTGTGTGCTCTTTTTTGGCTATTCTTGCTCTTTGCTGCTTATTGTGGGATGAATAAAGGTTATCTTCTCTTATCTTATATTCATACAGTATCTTATCTGACTTCTGATTAACATTTTTTGGGATATTGAGTGACAAAGAGACATAAACAGATCTAGAAATCCCTTCTGCTTTTAAAAGAGGTCCCTTCCGTAAAGAATTACCTCTCATTAACCATGAATTCAATTAGGATTTTTGTTTGGTGTATCTAAATCTCTGAATCACCAGGATTAATGTTCATAAAAAAAACATGAAATCAAATCTCATAAAGCTTCTGAAAAGCGGCAACATGTCGGATGAAAAGTTGACATATTATTACCAAAGAGAACAGGGTATGGGTCATTTAGCAACACAAGCTACAAAGTTCATTGTTATTGCAGAAATAGTTAAACATTCTTGGAAATGTGCATAATCCCATTACACCTGAGAAAGCAAACAAAAAAGAACATCCTGGATTTTGTTTCAAAAGAACAAAGCCAGGGGCGCTGGTGGCGCAATGGTTAGTGTGCGCGCTCCATGTATGGAGGCTGTTGTCCTCCAAGCGGGTGGTCCAGGATTGAATCCCACCTGTGGCTCCTTTCCCACATGTCATTCCCCACTCTCTATCCCTGAATTCCAACTCTGTCCACTATCCCATCTCTCAATCAAAAGCCCAAAAATAAACCTTAAAAAAAAAAAAAAAAGAACTAAGCCAGTAAAATTGTATATGTGCTTCAGTTTTGCAGTTGCTCTGTATTTAATTTTTCACATTACAACAAAAATATTAACTTCTGATCTTCCATTTCTCCAATTTCTCCAATTTCTCCATTTCTCTGAATTTCCCATTTTTTCTCATTTCTTCTTTCTTTTTTTCCAGTGCTTTGGGGAGGAACAGTCCATCATACAGATGGGAAAAGGGTCCATGACCTTGAAATGGATAGATAAAGACAGGCGTAATCCACTGATAGTGTACAGATTATACAGTCAGTATGTCTTGTTGAGTTTGAACGGATTACTCCTGAATCTAAACTTGAGAATATTGCTTACAAGAAAAGGTTGTTATGTGTAAGTATTTTTAAAGATTCAGACCCTCCAGTTCTTATCAGAGTCCCTACAGACTGAGCTACCACCACTACCTCACCCCACCCTCGTATTTTTTATTTATTAATGCAGAAGCCCTTGCTTTTTTGTAAGATGGAAGGCTAATTTCTGGATCATTTCACTTTCATTTTACTCTTAACATTCCAAATAATTACAATTAATAAACCAGTCATGTAATATTGAAAAGGGATGCATTACTCACCCAGGTCATGACAGAGGCCAGCAATCTGAACACAAAGGACGTCTCTGTCATCGATTTTGAGTTCCGTCTGCCTTGACCTGAGAGCCTCAGCAAGTTTTCCTGCTAAGTATCCCACCCTTTTTAGACCACAGAAAACATTTTTTTAAATTATAACGCAGTTATCACAATTTATTATATATATTTTTATTCATATTTTTTATTAGATCCATACTAAGACAGGCACTGTTTTCTGCCTTTATTGGTTTTACAAGGTGTTTATGTGAAAACCACCATGAGTCTTCTCCTTATTTGGACTGAGGTCACCTGAAATCTGAAAACTTGCTGACTTACCCGATCGAGTGTTCAAAGCGGTTGTGAGACGCTCCAGGGTAAACAAAGTAGACACCTCCAAGCTGCTTTATGAATCGAAGTCTCTGGAACTGAGGTGTGTCAATGATTTTGATGAGGAGTGGGTGTAACTCTATGCTACCATGGATGGGATCATTAAACACCTGGCAGAAAACAAACAAACAAAAGCTAAGAACAATGAAATGCATAAAACAATACACCATGGAGACCAGCTCAAGTTTGTCTGAGGGCTCTGGGAAGTATTGCATAAGCATGAAATGAGCCCAAGAATAAAGCTGATGTTACAAAGAACGTTTTTTTGACTTTACCACTGGTTGGGATATTAAACATCTAGTAGAACAAAGAGAACAAAACATTGGACACTGAAAATGTCCTTTCAATACAAAGCGTGTCTTCCTATTCCTTTTTTTTTTTAGGATTAAAGGAAAGGAGAACAAAGAGGGTTGGTTTGGTTAGTAAAGGTGCACAAAGCTAGCTGTCCTCACCACTGGTGGGGATAATAAGCATCTAGAGAACAAAGCCCTCCCAGTTAATTAGATTTTTAATTTAGACTGATAATGGATAATACATGGACACAGGTTTAACTTTGTGGAGGTGTGTTTGTGTGCGGTTTATTCAACAAGTCGTCATTGTTTGTTCTGTTTATTCTCTCTTATCTCTCCAGCCGCAAAAATGTGGTGTGATGTGTGGTAAGACGTGAAGTATTTTACCTTGGTGATGATCGGTCTGTAGAATAAAAAAAAAAGCATTAACAGTATGAAGAAGTGCTGAAACTTCCAACTTAAAATGATTTCTTTATAAAGTTGGGATATTGTAAACTGGTTTAACAAAGACAGAGGTACTCACTGTTTTGCCATTTTGCCCGACTAGATAAAAGAGAAAGAAGTCAGTCATTTATTAAGTAGTCTAACCTCAGTTTTACACAAGCTAAAAGGCAAAATTGATAAATTAAACCATCAGTTTAAAATAACGATACAACTTACCAAAAGCCAACCATGAATTTAATCGACTATAACTAAAAAACCAACCTCCAAATTTTCCTCCAATTGTCCAAGTCCTTCTTTTTGTACCAACTTGTTTCCTCAGCTCCCTGTAACTTTGAAAAATCTATCTATATAGTTTTTAATATTTTGAAGCTGTAAGATGTTGCATTTACATCAAGTTAATGTTTCTGATGCTGATCTGACAAGTGGTAAATGTCATTTAAATTTAAAGGCTTTTTTTTATGACGCTCAGGGTTTTAAAACATCTGACATTTATATCTCCACCACACCCATGTTATTGGTCTTCACCCTCATGATCCTCTTCTTTTATTGATATACCAAACATTTCAGAAAACAAAACTGAAAATGCATCAGAATTTCTTAAGTCAAATTAACAAATCTAAACGTATAAAGAAGTGAAGAAATGACAGGATGTTAGAAATAAATCAGTATTAGAAGTTACTTCTGAAGAAAAATTCAGAGGTAGCGTGAATGTTGCATGTTTAACCTGCTCTTTAGACAGAGATTTATAGTGTACTCCATTTGAGGACTGCAAATATATCAAATGGCCACAAGATGGCAATGTTACTCAACTCTCTATGGTAAAGTGTGCCCTGACCATTTGATGAAATAAATGCTCTGCTGGAGAAAGTTTTAACAGGTACTGATCTTTTTTGTGTTGCTTTTGTCATAACTTTCAGAAAGGAAACACAAGAAACCCTCAGACTGTAAAGATTTTCTCATTCTATGATGACAAAAATGTTCAGCCTCATGATGTATCCAGAAGCATGTAAAGGAGGTGAACATCTGTCTGTCATCATTCTATCCAAAAATAAAAGATGAGACTATAATATGTATATATATGACCTCCAGTAACATCCAGAATGAGCACATTGCAGATGTATGTCTATTAGTGCCAGTAGCTCAGTCTGTAGGGGCTTGGGTTGGGAACCAGAGGGTTGCCAGTTCAAGTCCTAGTGTGGACCAAATATGGAAGTTGGTCTGGTAGCTGGAGAGGTGCCAGATCACCTCCTAAGCACTGCCAAGGTGCCCTTGAGCAAGGCACCAAACCTCTCCCCACCATCAGCTCAGGAGTGCCCGCTGTGGGCAGCTCCGTCACTCTGACATCTCCATTAGTGCTTGTCCATAGGATCCTGTTTGTGCATGTGTGTGTTGCATGGTTAACAGAGTGTAAAAACAGAAATTTCCCCTTGCAGGGATCAATAAAGTTAATCTTAATCTACTTTTTCTTGTGAGATTACTTCTGATTGCAGACATAGAAAGTTGTTCAGGATGATATGACTTTATTCCCAGTCAGGTATCTTTATAGGGCTTATAAATATCAATTTTTATCATCTAATTTCTGCCGAGGTTTAAGTTTTCTTTTAAACTGAAAGAAGGATGTCAAACTGATTCTCCGTGCAGCAACACAGATCAAACTTAAATGACAAATTGTAATCTCATGTTTGTATAACTACTGATTTTTTAAAAGTCAATGATGTACTAAAACTGTAATATCTGGTACTTTTTTAGGCTACTGATTTTGCCATATTCACAAATTCACAAATCAGTACAAAACACAAATCAACATAAAGCAAAT